CAGGTTTCACTTTGGTTAGCCATCGAATATTTTGAAGCTGCTTGTGTAAACACGGCTGGACAAAATTTGGTTCCTTTTTCTATAACAAGAAAAACAGCTTGGACAGAATTTTATGTAATTATGCAAATAGTGTAATTATTAATTATAAAATTATGCCATTTTTGTCTAATAACCTGCAATTAAGTGAGCTTAGTTGTTATCCTCTTTTCCACTTCAGTGTAAAGCGTGTTACCTTTAAGTAAGATATTAGTACTGGCGGTGATTTTGATGAGATGTTTATTCATATTCGAGCTGGTTATTAACTTGGTGGTGCTGACTTGTGGATGCAGAGGATCAGCAGCAGCTGGGTCAGCGTGATGCTTTCCTGGGACCCTACGGCAGGAAGCTCAGTGCCACCGCGTAACTGTAGGCTTCCCTGCCCACTAGACATTGGCACAGGCGGCACCCAAAGGGGTCCAGCAGAAGCACACAGTGAGAGAGAGCGAGAGAGAGAGAGAGGGAGAGATAGAGGGAGAGAGAGAGAGGCAGCAGTGCCAGGCTCGCCTGCAAGAAAGGATTCTCTATCCACGGACAGGTCCGTAGCCCAGCTGCCGAGGAAGAGGAGCGGATATGGGATGAGGGGGGCGTGCGGGTGTCTGTGTTTGGCCTGCTGGGAAGGGTGGGGGGGGGAGAAGAGGCTATTGGCAGGAAATGATAATGAGGGTTAGTGTTGGGAGGGATGGGGAGGGCGGGCCTGGCTTTGGGAATGTCTGTGCTTTTCATGCATGTGGGTTGAGAATAATGAACGCAGCCTTTTCGCATTGTTTTTTTCCTGTGTACATGGGAGTGGATGTGAACAGAATGCGAGAGGCCCTGCATCCTCAGCAGGCATTTGTGACGAATTCTGGGTGGGAAGAGATGTTTGCGCGCCGAGCATGCAGCACGACGGCATGCGGAGTAGGCCGCCGCATTGTAGTGGATTGTGCATGCAGTTACCTTCTGGAAAGCAAACGCAATGGGGATTGCAGGCAGAAGTGGGATGTGTATGTTGATGTGCAGTTTCCTAACGCGGTCTGTTATGGTAGATATGTAGACGTTATAATTATCCCACAGGGACACCGTTTATGAATGTCAGGCTCGAGCTTGAAATCCTCGGTGGGTGGGAGACCTCCAGGCATCACGGAACTCAGTCTCACACATGTATGTTGGTTGACGCCCATGAAACTTCATATGAATGTTGTCGCCATAAAGAACATACTAAGTATGCAGGCCAGATTCCTTTTTTGTCGTTTGTGAATGTAATGCATGTGTGTTAACATGGTTCGTATATTTAGAATTTCCCACCGAAGCCTTTTCTCCTCCTGCATGGTACTCCAGCAGGACATGTGTGGTTTAGGTCCTTACATGAAGTGGCCGTGGTAGATCTGGCAAACGCCTGTCTGTGCAAACCTCATGGCGGATTAAGGCACGATCCGTGTTGGCTGGAGAGGGAGGCGTTCCCGAAATGTGAGCTCAAACCATGCGCTTAGCGTAATACAAACCTTTCCTGCAGTCCTTTGTCATGTCTGCATGTGTGGGACAATAGGGTCTTTGAGCAGGACAGAGAGCCGGTCTGCAGGCGTCCCCTTTGCCGGAAGCTGTCACCGCCATTGCCGATAAGTGACTGTCTCACGGTGCCCACCTGTCGAATTGGCTCTGTTGGTTGTTTAGCCAGCCGCTGTTAGGTCTCCGAGACACAAATGTCAACAGCCTCTATAAATGGGTTAAATAGTTCACAGAAATGCTGTGGATAATCTCCTCTCAGAAGAGCCGATGTGGATTAATGGGGGGGGGGGGGGGGGGGGTGCCTTTGACAGCCCCAGGTAGAAGGTCCATTTTCTGCTTCTGCATGGCTGCAGTACTTGCATTAATGCTGCAGTGAGCTTTTTGGGGTTTGTAGGATTATCGAAGTCAGAAAGAACTTGGTTATTTCCCATAATAATGGTGACTTTTGCAATTTCACTGTGAACAGAAATTCTGAATTAGGTTTGGTGAAATCCCCAATATAGTAATTTACTATGTAATAATTATTAAAGGAGAGCTTGAAGGGAAAAGGTAGTCAGTTCTTGAAAATTACAACGCTGATTTTGCAGTTGAAATGCTCTTTATAATCAGGCATTATTTACTCTGTTGTGTTGGTATATGTGTATAAAAAATCTGATTGTTATTTTACCCTTTAAGACAATGATGGAGTAGCCTAATGAATAGTTATACACAAACTACTTAGCAAGCGATCAGTGTTAATGTTATTAATAAAGATCCACAGTGGGATGTTATAATAAGCACTGGCTGTGCTATGAAAGACTGGAAAGAATGTGCCGTACCACACTCACTCACACACAGACAGCTACAGGTCAGAGAGTCTTATATACACTCACTCACACACACAGCTACAGGGCAGAGAGTCTTATATACACTCACTCACACACACAGCTACAGGGCAGAGAGTCTTATATACACTCACTCACACACACAGCTACAGGGCAGAGAGTCTTATAT